AAGTACTCCTTTCAGCAAGGGTTTGCAATCTTGAAACCAGAAAAATACCAAATTATAGTCTCAAAATCAAATATCTACTACACATTCATTAATTTGACTTCAAAAAATATTTTTGTCCTGATTTACATGCGTTTGTGTACTGTACGCAAAGGTGATTGTATACTAGCTTAAAATGAAGCTTGTATATTGTGGGTAGGTGTGGGGGGTGGGTATATGTTTGCAGTATGTGGGGTGTTGGGGAGGGTGTGGGTTTTGTGGGGCAGTGGAGAGGCATGGGGGGGATCTGGGGTGAGGGAGCATGTGGATGTGTATGGTGTGGGTGGGTAAGGGATTTGTGGGGAGCTGTGAGTGTGTTGGGGAGGGTGGCTGGGAAGGGTTGTCTAGGCCATGTCTCAGCTGTATGGCCTAGACAGCAGGAGCTGGAGCAGCCTGGTGGGCACCACAGAAAGCCAGCCAAGAATCACAGGGGCCAGGCTGGCTCCTGCTATGTCCTGCAGCCCAGCACTGCAGCCAGGAACCATGTGGTGCTGGAGCAACCAGCGGGAGGTGTAGGGGGGTGAAGAGGAGCGGTGGCAGTGGTGGACAAATGGCTGCAGCAGGTGGGGGGGAATGGCAGCGAATGAGTATGCGGAGTACAGCAACAGTTGGGTGGGAGCATGGGGCCTGCACAGTGTGCCAGGGCCAGCACCAGTGGGGCCCACAGTGGGGCTGCAGGAGTGCAAGGAGTGGGCCAGCAGGGCTCTATGAAGCCAGGCTGGCCTGCACCAGTAGGGAGAGGGGGAGCCAGCCTGGTTCCAGAGCCCCTGTCAACCTGTGCCCCGCACTCCTGCCACCTCACTCTAGGCCCCGCCGGCTCTGGCCCCAGTGCACTGGCACAGATCTTGCACTCCTGCCCAGATGTCACTGAGCTCTGCACACCCACTCACTGCCCCTTCCCCCCAGCCTGCTGCTGCTTTCACAGCTTCCCTGCCTGCGGCTGCCACCACTTCTCTTCACCCCACACTGGCCGCTTTGCCACCACTTGGTTCCAGGCTGCAGACTGACTGCAGCAGCCAGCTCAGCCTGACCTTGAGGACAGGGGCAATCGCCTGCGGTCCTCCCCTGCTTCCCCCCGCCCTCCCTTTTCTGTATTTCCCTCCAGCGCAGGCAGGCAGGAACAGCACCAGGGTCCCTGGCCAGAACTCTGCTTGGGATGGGGCTTCTGGCTGGAGTGGGTGGCGGCAGGGCCGACTGGACCTTGCCTCTGCAGCAGCTTGGTCCTGCCAACAGCCTCCTCTGGGTCCTGCTGCCCCTGGCTCCTGTCATCTTTGACAGGCAGCCAGGGGCAGATTAATATGTATTTTTAAAATTGTTTAGGGGCCCCATAGGGTGGCTAAAGTGGCCTGCCAGGCTGAATCTGGCCTGTGGGCCATATTTTGCTCACCCCTGACCTAAGGCATGTGATCAGAAGACAGTTCTGTCTTTGATAGATATGCTTTCCAACACAGCAATTAAATGGGAAGCCTCCTGCAAATCAAAAGATTAGACTAATTAATGCCTTACACTAGCAGGTAACAAAAGTAGGACTCGGCTGGAGAGAATGTTTCCTAGGGTTGGAAATGCTAAAACAATCATATCTGCTATACAATCAGATCTGCTATTGAAACCAAACTGATTGAAGCCCATAGAATGTTTGTAGAACTCGCGCCTACCCACAAGCAAGCCAATTTGCAAATGGTCTGAACTGGCTAGAACAGGCAAACTATCGGCAAGAAGTTTAATGCCAATTAATACTCCACTAATCTGATCTAAACAGAAGTATATTCAGCATAGCTTCAAAGAAGCTAAAATGGTATAATTTTCTTCTTACTGTCCCACAATGCACTGGTGACCTTGCAAAATCTGTCAGAATGTGGTGCCCGAATGTTACCCTCATAATGCACACAAAAGGCAGAATTGTGGGATAATTATCTAAAATACATTGCATCAGAAATTGTCTAAGCAAATAGTGTGGACACAGGGCAAATCTTAACCAGTTCAGGATGGCGCATGTGGATGCTCTGAGCCATTTACACCAGTCTCAGTACAGTCAGTTCAGTTCTCTAGCGGAGACAAACCTCACAGCATCAGAAAGGTGGGTGCACACCACAAATGTTGGCTTTCCCAGTGTTCATGGAGACTGTGTTAGTTTGTTTGAGGTTAAGGTGCTGGGGCCGGCTGAACAGTTCTAAAATAAATTCATTTCACAGTTTGGGCGTGTTGGGAATTCTCCAGGATAGTTCACACCCATCTCTAGTGAAAGTTTGACAATGAATGGAAAAGATTTGAAAGCCCTTCCCATCCCTTCAGGCTTTTTTTAGGAGCTGACAGGCATACATAAATCTAACCCTGGCTACCATTAAAAAAACACCAAAGCTGTCTGAACTGTTCCCCTTGCAGAGACATCCTGCACAGATTCAGAAAGTTCCTTGATTAAATGAGGATTAGCTGTGGAAGGAGCATGTCCAAAGAAAAAAATTGTTTCCATGGTAACAACAGAGTTTAGAACTAATTGGACTTTCTTTCCCCAGGAATGATTGGGAGCCCCCTGACAAGAAGGTGGATACTAGAAAGTACCGGGCAGAGCCCAAGAGCATTTACGACTATCAACCAGGAAAGTCCTCAGTCTTGAACAACGAAAAGATGGTAATGCTCATCTTATCCTACTCCATAGCTTGGTCCTGCAATTGTAATACATGCTATAGACGCTTGTATGTTTCCATTTTGATAAATACCCTTGCCTTATATTACCTATGTGGTGTATTTCTGTATATTTTGTTTTGCAGATGTTTGAGTAACCTCTTAACCATTGTCAGTCATACAAAACCAGAGCTGGAGAGCTGTGAGGCTCCCTTTTCTTCTGGATGTATTGTTTTCTGTGTGAAGTATGGATCACTATCCCCAGTTTTTAATCTGTTTGACACCATGACCTGTTTGATGGCTGCTTTGTCAACTGTGCTTATTTCTAGTGCAAAGTCTTAATTTATTCAGGAGAGTCTGAGAGCACGATGCAGTGCACCAGGCTGGAAAGGGTTCAGTTTTGTGTGCTTCTATGTCATCAGTTTTAATTAAATTAACCTTCAGCTTTTATGCATTGAAAGTGAAATGATGCAAGTGCTAGAAAACATTTATTTAGTTGGTTTTAAGTGAAAATTTTCATCCTTTAAAATTGTGATTTGGAAGGCTTGGGTTAAAGTGCTAATTAGTTGTGATATTCAAAGTAGATTCTAAGGTCATGTTTTCATTAATCCTTGGAGAAGGGTTGAAGAGTTTTGCAGAGCATACAGTTGCTTTTAGTTAAAAATGTATGGAAAGGATTTAAACCAATAGAAATATGTGTTTAAACTAGGGGTTGGCAACCTATGGCCCACTGGCTGGATTTGGTCAGCAGAACCACTGGATCTGACCTGTGGATATGCGGGTTTGGTGGCATTTGACAGCAGTGGTGGATGGGTTCTAGCTCCTGGCCACCTGCCTGTTTCCCACCCAAGATGTAGCCAGAAAAGGTTGCCTACCCTGAGTTTAAGCTATTAAAAATAAGCCTGATGTGGTAGTAGGTATTTCTGTTCAGTTCTGGCAAAAACCAATATTTTTGAAAGATCGTGGGACTGATTCTACTTCCACATCAGTGTCGCTTCATTCACTTCAGCAAAGTTATACCTGGTTTAGGGCCTGTTGAAATCAGCAGGAGTCTTCTCCTTGGCTTCAGTGAGCACTGGCTTAGCCCCTTCCACAGGTGTAAGTAAAGGGACAGTTGTGCCACTTTAGGTTATTCCTGGAGCAAAACTGCAGTTGATTTCAGTGGGAACTTTGCCTCAGTAAGCTTTCCAGGATCAGACCCTATCATTTATAGCTGATTTATCAGAGCCCCTAAGCATCTGCTTGCATCCTAGTGTAATCCACAGAACTTTTGTTGAGCTCCAAGTGAAACATATCCTTAAAAAGATTTCTAAGTCAAATTTGAAAGCCAGAAGAGGGACAGTCGATAAAGAAGCTGGGAGTTAAATAAAAAAAGGGACGGTGCATGATGATGATGTTCTTGACATGTTTGGAGTTCTCATTTCAAAGCAAAGATCAGAGAGGAGTAGGGGACAAGGTTTAGAAATATGATGAGACCAAAATGTGATTTCAGTCAGTGGTCTTCATTGACTGGTATCATAGTGATGCATAGAGATTGCTAAGTTCCCTGCAACATAAAACAAACAACTCATCTAAAGAGAATTTGCAAGCTGTCAATGCATTACAATTCCATATGCAAAGCAGTGGTTATCAGGGGCCTGATCTCAAGCCCATAGACATCAGTGCAAAGGCATCTCATTGTTTTCAGTGGGGTTTGGACCAGTTTCACTGTATACTGAAAACTTCCATATGTGATAAATGAAAAATGTTTTAGGAGTTAATACATAATGTATAGAAACCAAAGAACATGGGGTTTCTGTTTGGGCTGCAGGTAATAATTTTTTCTCCAATTCTTGTGGTTTCAATAGGTTCACTTGACACGTGCAGGCATTAACTCCTTTTTGTAATGGTTTTACCATGGTAGAAAAAAGATAACCACTTGTAGACATAGCATTTTCCTTCCCCTGCCATCCCCAAAGGATTAAATATGGCAGGAATTATTCCCATGGAAAGAATTGCTGTGGGTAGCAGCCAATATAGAAAAAGAAATGAAAAAATCAGAAGAGCAAAGGCTGAGTTGGCATTAAAGTCAGCATGAGAGTCTTGCTATCATGTTTGGAGCATAGAACTGGGACTTCCTAGTTACAGTCTGAGCCCCAGCATGCCTCTTTTTGGCCTTGGCCCTTTTAAGTGCCTTTCCTCAGGTAGGACCCAGAAACATTAGTCAAACGCACCAGGCAGGCTCCTACTTCTGTGCAATGGATCCCTAGCGGAGCTCAGGACTTGGGAGCAACGAGCTCCTGAACTGTAAATCCAATCTGAGCACACAGTTCTGTAGTTGTCTTTGGCAAGTCACTTCAGGTCTCTGGCTCATTTTTTCTGCCTGTAAACTAAGGGTGGGCAAGGGTGGAGATGATACTTATTCACTTGCTATGTATAAGAGAGGTGTTGGACAGTAGCACAGCTGCTATAATGTATAGGAGCTCTCCCCCACGTTGAAGCAGTCCAGAGTCCACGTTAGTGCTCAACACCTCCACTCCCTCTTGCCACCCCCACTTTAATCCCCCAGCTCAGCTTAAGATCCATGGCAGGGGACAGAATGGAGCCATGTATGCTGGCTTCTGTGCATAGCTCTTGTACACACCATCATAGCAACATAAAGAGGGTTAAGTTGGGCCCATCATGGACCCTTCTGTGTTCTGCTGCAGTCACATGATGCATATAAGTGAGTAGTGTGCTTGTATCCATTAAACTCGGGGGTAGTTGAACCAACTCTGTCTTGTATAGTGGCTCTTCATAACCCAGAGCAATGGATTTATTTTCTCACATAGCCAATACCATCAATAAGCAGCTGCAGCTTGTTCCATTAAAATAGGTACGGGGAAGGAAAGGGACCTTTCTTTTCAGTTGCGCTGTTACCTGTCCTGTCTGGTCTTTTTTCTTTTTTGTTTTGTCTGATTCTCTAACATTTGCTTGTGAATAAGCAAAGTGTATTGTCTCTGCAATCATTCCCTTAGCAATCTTTCAGAAATGTGTCCCTTGGTCATGTCCTCTTTGATATAGAATACCACTACTCACTCTGTTTACTGTGCACGGAAGAGGGTTTCTCACATATCCATGTGCTGTTAAAGATGCAGTGTCCTCCAGTGGTTTTTTAAACAATGATCTGGGGCTCAGAACATTTGATTTATTTTTTTTTAAGTTTCTTTTTTTTCCACATGAAAATTAATAATAATGAAACAAAGCTTAGTTTTGAATCGGAGGGAAAGTCCAACAGTAGGAACAAATAGTCCTGAGGTGTGCCTGTTTACAGCCTTTTCACTGACTTGTTCTGTGACCTGGGGAAGGTCATTTCAACTCTTTGTGCCTCATTTTCCCCACCTGTAAAATGTATAGAGTGTTTATGAGAGAGCTGTCAAACTTAATTACTGCTTGTAAAGCTCTCAGGGCTCCTCAGATGAGAAGAATTAGGAAAGTGAAAAATTATTAGGTTAACTATCTACATGATAACATTGGAAGCATGGACACTGCATCTCTACCAGTCCCTTTCCTGTGTATTCTTTGCATAATGTTATCCTTCTCTTTCTTTCATTCCCCTATCACCAACTCCTTTAGACTCGGGATATAAGCCCAGAAGAGATAGATTTAAAGAATGAACCTTGGTATAAATTCTTTTCGGAATTGGAGTTTGGGAAACCGGTAAGTTTGATAGCTACAATGAATGATGAAGTCAACCTACATATGTAATGATGCTGTTGCAACTCTACTGTAGGTCCCAGGCACTAAACAACAGCCTTCCCATTTGAAAAATGGCTATTCATAACTGGGCATCAGCACTTTGCTGCTCTGTGACCCCTTTCAACATTCTTAAGACTTAACATTTGCACTTCAGTTTCAAAAGAGAACATGCTGAAGGGCAACCTTCCTTCCCAGAGGTGCCAAGTACATGGGGACCTGAGGGCCCTGGCCCCTTTGGGAAGAGGGCTGTCATCTGAAATGTGTAAAACTTCCCACATGTCCATCATCTTCGGCCCCCCTCCCCTGGCAAAAATAAAAGTTGGTGCCTATGTTCCTTTCACATGTTGGAGTTCTGATTTGAATTTTTGTTTTTTAATGGGAGAAGTAAATGCCATTGGGCACTTTTACATGTGCTCTGGGGATGGGGGTGGCACTTTAATTAGAGCAGCTCCAAGAGGCAGTTATTGAGAATGATGGGCGCCTGTATATGAGCATGGAGGCTGCTTTGACATGCTGTAATTGCAGCATGGTGGAGCAGACTCAATTAATCGAGTCTGCTGGAATGTGGCAATTGCCGCACTCCAGCAGCTTCCCGCATCTCGTGTATCAGTGTCCCTGCGCTTCAAAATGGCAGCAGGGGAGCTTGAACTAAAGCTTGTTTGATGAAAGTTCAAGTGCCCCCACTGCCATTTTGAAGTTGAAGTGTGGGGATGCTGATATGCGAGACGCGGGAAGCTGCTGGAATGTGCTAATTGCCCCATTTCAGCAAACTTGATTAATGAAGTCTGCTCCAATGCATTGTAATTACAGCACATCAGAACAGCCTCTGCACTTATGTACCGACACCACCCATCATTCTCAGTAATTTAAGTCCCCTTTTCCATTCACTTGTTCCTTCTCCTGGGTCCAGGATAGCTGTTACTTACCCAATGACACAACTTAAACCATTCCCTTATGTCAGCCCTTGTTCCTTAGGTTTTTTGTCTGAAAAGTCCACAAACTGATCTTCACCATTTCCTGCTCCTTCCCTTCTGCATGTCACCTGCAGCGTCCCAAACATAGTGTCCCAAGTTTGCATTGAGTGTTCCAGAACTGTTCCTTGAAACAATCCCCTACAAATGGTGGAATCAAGAAAATCATGTGCTTGTATTAAAAGTCAAGTTGCACAGCTGTCTTGAAAGAATCCCTTGATTTCACAGCTCTAAGAATGATAAAACAAAGCCTAATTATCCAACAAGGACAGATGTCATTTTGTTGGAGACTATTTAAAAAAGATTAGCCCCACATTGTTCTTAAGACCTCTAGAGCAGTGGACACCAACCACTGAGATTGACTGGTCGATTGTGGAGCCTCTGACAGTCGATTTCAGTCTGTCAGAGGCTCCACAATCGGGAGCAGCAGGATACACGTGGCTGGGCTGAGCCATGCCCCCTGCCACCCAGACTGGGCTGGGTGAGTGGGATCAGAGACCTGGGCAGCTTGTCTGGGAAGTGGGGGAAGGAGGGGCATGGTAGATCATGGGGTGCCAAAAAGTGATCTTGACCATAAAAAGGTTGGGGACCACTGCTCTAGAGTCTTACAGCATGGCTCTAATATCACTTGCTGTGTTTTTACATTGGTTCAACTCCACAGGCTTCAATGGAGTTATTCCTGATTCTCTGGTGTAACTTAAGAGCAGAATCAAGCCCTTAGCTCTTCCCAGGTACCCTAGAAGCATCAATAATTCACATCTTCTAAACCTCTTCCAGCAATTCCAATAGATGGATTCATCCAGCCATGCCTGTTCATGTAGTCTCATTCACTGGGTCACAGGAACCTGGATTACTAAAGACATAGGAGGTGATGTTCTTAAGGCAAGAGCAAGACTTGGGACATACTCCCTCCCTTTCTGCCCTTGACCAAGTTAACTGACCTCTCTGCCAATTAAATATTACTCATGTACACCTTAAAAGATACACATGAGGCTTAATTAATGTCACCAATGCATGCTGAAACCATAGGATAGAAAGTGCTAGAGAACTGCAGGGGTATAGGTTGTAGCCATGTTGGTCTAAGGACATAGACGACAAGGTTCTTTGGCTAAATCTGATATCTCAGTTGGTCTAATAAAAGATATCCAATTTACCCGAAGAACCAGAGAAGAGCAGTGAACTTGTTCTAATGTAGTTCAGGATCTTTGTATTCTGGTATACTTTGTTCTTCTGGTAGAGGGCATGTTTTAATAGTTCCTCTTGTGCACCTTGTGCTTCTCCCCAGCCAAAACCTTTGCAGATCATGCCCTTGTGCCTTCCACCTTAGGGATGGGATTTTCAAAAGTGTTCAGTATTGGTGTACCTCTGCTCCCATGGAAGCCAATGGTAAAACACCCATTGACCTCAGTGGGAACAGGATGAAGTTAATATTGAGTGCATTTGAAAATGTGCTATTAAAAAATGCACACACCTAAAAGGTATTTGTTCAGTGTCCTATTCTGTTCTTAGGCATTCACCCACAGTCCCCATTAACTTTGGGGATGTATCACAAGTGCATCGGAAGATAGAATTTACCTCATAGATGTGTTCCAACTGCTACCTTCTTGCTGTAATGTCATTTTGATTTTTAAAAAGATATTAAATGACAGAAATTAAATCTTCAGAACACACACTCTCACTTTCCAGTAGGATCGGAGGGATCGCTCTCTGTTTACCTCCAGACAGTGGAATGACAGGCACATGACATGTAAGACAATATAGCCTTTACTGTGGATTGAAGATTTGTCATCACTGTGATCAACTTCATTACAACTGGCTTAAATCAGTGGCTAACCTGGAAAAGGAAACAGAAAATTTATAGATGTCAGAAGACATGGCATCTGTCTCTGACTTCCATATTTGAGTGCTCAAGTCATGCATTTCTGCTCTGTGCACACTGCTCAGTCTCAGAGGTAGGATGTTTGGAGGAGAATAGTGTTCCAAGAAGAAATATGTTACAGCCACATGTGGCAGTCTCCCCTTCATATTTTCATAGTTGGTAGGGTCGGAAGGGATCTGAGCAGATCATCAAGTCCGACCCCC